CATTTACTTTACTTGAGATCTTAAGTTTCGTTTCTTTGATAAAATTTCGCCCCAAAAACATTGATCTTGAGTTTAGTGTCCTGGATATACGATTGTTCTGAATGCCATGCTCGGCCTTTTACTCTACCATTTCAAAGCAACAACAACAATAGTTGTGAAGTTGTAAAATGATATTTAAGTTATAATTATTTGTTCTTTTAGCAACTAAAAAGAGTGAGATTACAAAGTCAAATATCGAGATCAAAGACTGAGTTGATTATAGCATACGATCTAACTGAAAACCTAGTTGTTTTGCAGAAATAGCAATAAGAGTACTACAACAAGCAGAATCTTAGCAGAGTCTAAGATGGGAGAGAGTGCAGGGACATCTGCGACTGCGAGTCCCATGGTATCTGAACCGATTCTGGAAGAAGGTGTTTTCAGGTTTGATTCTTCTGCTGATGCTAGAAACGAAGCATTTCCTAGTCTTTCTTTTGTTAATCAGAAAGACAGGGACACACCCATTATGAGTAATCACAAAATTCCATCCTACATCCCAACTTCTGAACATGTTTCAGGTCAACAAATTGTCTCTTTTGAGGTCAGTTTTATCTTCTTGAAATACCATATACTTTGCAAAATTCTTGCTATGGTTAATTACATCTCACTAAAGGTCACCAATATGGTAATTAGCTTCCTGCAGGAACCTCATTTTATGGAACAGGTGAAGTTAGTGGACAACTTGAAAGAACAGGAAAAAGGGTTGGTTTTTAATTTTTGATCATATATTTTTTATAACTAATTTTTGGAGTATCATAACAAATGCAACAAACACAGGTGTTTACTTGGAATACTGATGCATGGGGGTATGGGAGTGGAACTACATCCTTATACCAATCACATCCATGGGTTCTAGCCATTCTTCCAAATGGAGAGGCATTAGGATTTCTTGCTGATACAACAAAACGCTGTGAGGTGCTCAAAACTCCTATAACTTATCTCATTTTTTTTTTTTCCATTTTGTGAATGATTTTGTTTTTACCCATTTTCTTATTGGATTATATTTAACAGATTGATCTGCGTAAAGAATCAACAGCAAAGCTAATTGCCTCATCGCCTTTTCCTGTGGTGACATTTGGTCCATTTGCTTCAGTAAACGATGTTTTGGCATCATTATCACATGCAGTTGGTAATTTCCTGAAAACCATAATGAAGTTTTACATCTCTTCCAAATACCTTTTTTTTTAAGGTCATCTGTTTCTGTTAATAGGAACTGTTTTCATGCCACCAAAGTGGTCATTGGGATATCAACAATGCCGATGGAGCTATGACTCTGATTTGAGGGTTCGTGAGGTATGTTAAAGTTTTTCACACATTCAAGATTTCTTATTCTGAATCTATGATTTCACCATATTGGTTTTTACTTTTTTACTGTGTAGATTGCCAAGACATTTCGGGATAAAGGTATACCTTGTGATGTCATATGGATGGACATTGACTACATGGATGGATTTCGTTGTTTCACCTTTGACCAAGTATGTTAATGGATATTGACTCTTAAAGTGAAGTTCATCATTCATCAATCATCAATCTTTTCTATTGATCTCAGGAGACTTTTCCTAATCCAAAATCTCTAGTGGATGAGCTTCATCGTATGGGTTTCAAGGCTATCTGGATGCTTGACCCTGGGATAAAGCATGAAAAGGGTTACTCTGTATATGAAAGTGGAACAGAAAAAGACATATGGGTTCAGACAAAAGATGGAAACCCCTTTGTTGGTATCTCCATCTCCATGAAACATGAATTGTATCTAATCTTCAACTGTTTTCAAAACGATTCTCATAAGTTTCATTTCCATTTTCATAACAGGAGAGGTATGGCCTGGAGCTTGTGTTTTCCCTGATTTTACTCAAGAAAAAGCTCGTTCTTGGTGGGCTAATTTAGTCAAAGATTTTATATCTAATGGTGTGGATGGCATATGGAACGACATGAATGAACCAGCTGTTTTCAAAGTCAAGTTTACACCTTTTTCCTTTTTTCATAATCTTTCTGATCTATTATTATTATTTCATCTCACTAGATTTGTTTTCCTTTCTCCAGTCTATTACAAAGACAATGCCTGAAAGTAACATTCATAGGGGAGATGATGAACTTGGTGGTCATCAAAATCACCTACACTATCACAATGTAAGCTACTCTGATTAGTCTATATATATATATATATATATATATATATATATACATATGATTGAGAAGTTTTAGTAATGTAGTTTCTGATTTAGGTTTATGGAATGCTAATGGCAAGATCAACATATGAAGGCATGAAATTAGCCAATCCAAATAAACGCCCATTTGTTCTTACACGAGCTGGATTTATAGGTAGTCAGAGGTATGCTGCCACATGGACAGGAGACAATCTATCTACATGGGAACATTTACATATGAGCATCTCTATGGTACTCCAACTGGTAAGAAAGCTTCTAGAATACTATTATTTCTCATGATTAAATTTTAATGTTACTAAATATTATTTCAGGGGCTTAGTGGTCAACCACTTTCAGGACCTGATATTGGAGGATTTGCAGGGAATGCAACACCCAAATTATTTGGAAGGTGGTTTGGTATTGGTGCCATGTTTCCATTTTGTCGAGGACATTCTGAGAAGGGAACTGTTGATCATGAGCCTTGGTCATTTGGGGAAGAGGTAATCAATCCCTTTTCTTTTTATTAAATTTTAAATATTTAAACTTTTTGTTCATTAATTAATTTTTTTTACAGTGTGAGGAAGTTTGTAGGTTGGCACTAAAGAGAAGATATCGCCTTATACCACATATATATACACTTTTCTACTTGGCACATACAAATGGTTCTCCAGTGGCATCTCCTACTTTTTTTGCTGGTATGATAAGTTTATTTTCATCTATATATTCGTTTTTTAATTTAATTTTTCGGTTTCTTTAACTTTATTATCTTTTTTTGTAGATTTGAAGGATTCCGAATTAAGAAGAAATGAAAATTCGTTCCTTTTGGGCCCACTTCTTGTATATTGCAGCACTTTGAGTGATCTTGGAGTGCATCAAATACATCATACACTGCCTAATGGAACTTGGATGAGTTTTGATTTTCAAGATTCACATCCAGTAAGAATCTTTTTGTTTTTAAAAGAAAAACAAAGACATGTTTTATAGTTTTCTTGATTTTTTTTCAGGATTTACCAGCACTATATCTACGAGGTGGATCAATCATCCCATATGGTCCAGCTCATCAACATGTGAGTGAAGCTAATGCAAAGGATGATCTGTCATTGTTTATAGCTTTAGATGAAAATGGTAAAGCTGAAGGTGTTCTCTTTGAAGATGATGGTGATGGCTATGAATATACAAACAAGGCTTATCTTTTCACAACATATGTTGCTGAGCTCAAATCTTCAGTTGTCACACTCAGTGTCTCCAAAACTGAAGGATTGTGGAAAAGACCAAATCGCCACTTACATGTCCACCTATTGCTCGGTGAAGGAGCTATGGTATATGTTCTATCTTTTCCTTTTCCTTTTAATTTTGTTTTCATATTTAGGTTTTAACTATTTTTTTTCTTCTTCAGGTTGATGCATGGGGTACTGATGGAGAAGATCTGAAAATCACTCTGCCTTCAGAAAATGAAATATCAAATTTAATTTCTGCTAGCAAGAACAATTACAAGACACGTATGGGTAAGTATGGATCTAAATACTTTACAACTAATGTTTTCTGCTTTTTTTATTTAAGTGATTAATTAATTATCTTATTGTTTATTTTATTTAATCTAATGTGAAATTTTCAGAAAGTGCAAAACGTATACCGGATGTGGAGCAGGCATCTGGACATAAAGGGGTTGAGCTTTCAGGAACTCCTGTGGAAGTTAAAGGTGGTGAATGGGCTCTCAAAGTTGTCCCTTGGATTGGGGGTCGTATCATATCTATGGAACACCTTCCTACAGGTAAATATAATCTAAAAAATAGTCAACATTTCTCTTAATTTGGTCAAAGGTCAAACCATAGTCATATATGTTTATTGGGAACAGGAACTCAATGGCTTCATAGTCGGGTAGAAATCAATGGGTATGAAGAATATAGTGGTACTGAATATCGTTCTGCTGGATGCACCGAAGAGTATACTGTCATTAAGTGAGTTAATCTTTAATCTTTAATCTTTTTAAGTTTAAAAAGTTACTTTTTTGAAATAATCAAAATAATAATTGTATTATTTTTTTGTAAAGTCGGGATCTTGAGCAAGCAGGAGATATAGAATCTTTAAGAATGGAAGGTGATGTGGGAGGTGGATTAGCTATTGAAAGAAATATCTCTCTCTCAGAAGATAACCCTAAACTTTTCAAGATTGACTCGAGTCTTTTAGCACGCAGTGTAGGTGCTGGTTCTGGAGGGTATTCAAGGTTGTTTTTTTTACCCTTTTGCCATCTGTTCTTTTGGAATTGATTTATATAATTTGTTATGAGTTATGATCATATTATGGTCATTTCACAGGCTTGTTTGTTTAAGAATCCACCCAACATTTAGTCTTTTTCACCCAACTGAGACATACGTCTCATTCACCTCCATTGACGGATCCAAACATGAAGTATGGCCGGAATCCGGGGAGCAGCTCTATGAGGGGCATCTTCGTCCAAATGGTAATTAGATATTTGTTTCTTATAAATCTTTTTAGATTTGAAGTTGTAAAAAAAAAAAAAAAAATGTTTTTCAGGTGAATGGATGTTGGTTGACAAGTGCCTTGGGTTGGGTTTAGTCAACAGATTCAATGTTGACCAGGTATACAAGTGTCTTCTCCATTGGGATTTTGGGACTGTGAATCTTGAGCTTTGGTCAGAAGACAGGCCAGTTTCAAAGCAGTCACCTCTTTGTATTTCTCACAGTTATGAAATTAAGAGGATTAGCGTAGTGTGCTAATACTACTTTTATTGTTACATTTCAATAATAACTGATGGGAGTATTAAATAAATGACATATTTGGTTATGAGAAAAGAAATCAACACTGTTGAGGCAATGTATGCTGGTGATTGATCAATTGAGTTGTGTTTCTTTCATAAAACCAGTCACTAACTACTTCAGCAATAGCCTGCACATGGGATTGAAATTATATCAATATAAATTCAAAGGTGAAAAGCAAACACATACTTTGACTTTTACAAGTCAAACAAGTTACCTTGTTATCCAACTTTGAAGCAGCATCTCCAAGCCAGTTTATCTGATTTCCTGATTGGCAGTGTGAATAACAAGAATTGATGAACAATCCTCTTGATGTGGAGTTGAATCTGGATTTACCCATTCCTGACATCAATGTCTTTATGAAATCTGACCTAAAATCTGAATATACAGAAAAAAAAAGTTTATAAGTTTTTTGAACCTATGTTACATTTAGGGTTTTGTTTAGATTAGAAGAATGACCTTGCAATCTTTGGAGTTGGGTGGATGAGCAGTTTGATATGTTTGACTTGCATGCAGACCATGAATCATGGTGATCAGCCTTTTTTGGTGCTAAGATGTTTTGTACCTTAAAAACAGTATGATATATATATATATATATATATATATATATATATATATATATATATATATATATATATTCATAGTTCAGACACGTGTACATGGAATCACACAGAAAAACCAAGAACACACAGTTAAAGATGATGAACCTGATATGCATCGTAAGCAGTGTTTATGACAAACAAGGGTGTCTTGATTTCTGGCAAAATAAATTGTGGGTAGAAGCACTACAAATAATAATGAAAACGTTACATCTCATATGATGAAATGAACCAGGCTTAATTAAGTTTCATGATCACATTAAAACAATATTAATTTATAACTTTTTAAGTTGTATTATATATAGCTTACCAAGCCAGGCTTCATCTTTGAAGTACATGAAGAAGGAAGATTTATCTTTGAATTCTACAGCCAAAATCAAGGTACCTTATCAGAACTAAATATGATAAGAGTGTACACACACTAGTGTCTATGTGTGTATGAGAGAGAGAGAGAGAGGGAGAAAAGAGAGAACATGTAGTTTAACGATCTTAGTGAAGAACTTCTGAAAGTGGTATTTTCCAGAAATGTCCTTCCTGTTAGAGAACACAATGAATCAGCTATAATATATCAAAAGACAATAAAGAGTTGTAGAAAACTTAAAAGTGCGATTATATACACATGAACAAAGTAACCGGCATCAGGAGCACATTTGACTTGAGAAGTTGGTGGCAACATGGCTCGAAACTTGTCACAATACAATATTGACGCTAACCCACCAGAAGAACAACCGGTTAGAAGTGCCTGAATGCCAATTAAATAAGAAATCAGTCAAATATTGACTGATCGAGTGACCTGACTGGAAGAAATTAGAACGTAAAGGGACCTAAGACGTATAAAATACAAGTATGTTGCAATTTAATGACTAGAGAGAACTAGAAGCATTTACACTTGATGCTTTATTGAGTCCTTTTCCTAGCAGCTCCTCCAGAATAACATTGAAGATCCTTGCACCTCTATAATGAAGATTAGTAGCCTGAAAATTAATTTGTAAATAGATTAATGAGAAGTTGTGAATTATATATATATATATATATATATATATATATATATATATATATATATATATATATATATATATATTATAGTTTAGTTTGTGATGGGGATCCAAATTAACTTACGGGGTCAACTTTTTCGACATCCCCGGTAAAAGATGCTCCATCACAGTACCTCATGATGACTCTATTCCAGTTGTAGAACCCTACAAAAGTAATTAATTAATTAATCAACTTTATTTGTACCTACAAAAGTTATGCTTCATGGATTCTAAAGGAATTCAGATAGAAGAATTTGTCAATGAAGGGTACTTTGGTCATTTTATCGTAATTTACATTTGCCAAAACAGCAAAGGATTAAGGATCGGAATTGAATTTCGTTACATTTTCATTTTCAGTCAACCAAATACAACATTTCATCATGCTTATATATAGTTTATGTTTTTTTTTGTATGTGTAGTACCTGGATTAAACTCTTGCTTACTGCTAAAAACTCCTGTGAAATTGAACTTTTGCATACGTGTTGATGAACCCACACCATTACTCATGTTCACGCGTAATAAACAACTTTTTGTCGACTCACACCATCCTCCTCCCTAACCACATGAAATCAATTTCAATTCTAAACTATCTCACACCATAAATAGTGAATTCATTTTCATGTTTCAATTATACATCAATGTAATGCAAACTTTTTGAAATACATTAATTACACGTGTATTTTAATCGTTTTAAAAACTTAATTACTTATATCCGAAATAGTGTGAGTACTAATTAACTAACCTGTATGTGAATTAACCACTTATCAACACCTTCTCCGAATCCTTTATCAAACTGATATGCGGGTGGACTTCCATCTAAACAAACTGCACCACACAAATAAAAACATTGATATATGCATATTAGTACACTTTAATTAAAGTTTGTGAAAATAAAAGAACATATATATAATATATTTAAGATGATTAGTACACTTTAATATATATATATATATATATATATATATATATATATATATATATATATATATATATATATATATATATATATATATATATTTACCAGCTCCTTTGGCAATGGCACTCTGAATGAAAGTCATCTCGACATTGTCTGAGCATTCTGTTTCTGACAATATGATGATCAGTAGTAGAAATATTAAGCACAACCATTGGCATGGTTTTGTGAATGTGATGCTTGCCATGGTGAGCGTTGTCCAAAAACTTCATTGTTGCATACCTTTTAAGAGTCGGAAAGGTTGTATATTTGAATTCAAGTGGGTTATAATTTGAATAAAGTATATGCAAACTGTAATTTAATGAACATGCCATCCAGCATTTGTATCGATCTCAACAAGCATATATGAATCGGTTGACTAAAATTAATTTTGACTTGTATACAGTAAGTCAACCTTCAACTTAGTGATCCAGATCTGGAATTCCAAAAAGCGAAAGTCAAGTAAATTTACTAAGAAATACAAACATTTTCTTATTATATATTGTTTGTCTCAAATTATATGTCTGCTTACAAGATATTCATGTGATAGAGATATATATGGTATGTAAATCTTCTTATTTCCTTTTATTAATGGTTATTTTAGACATTTAGGGATTGTCCAGCAGAAATAAGCTACTTATAGTAATTTAGTGGTCAGTAAAACCAAAAAAATAACTTATTGTAGCTTATTGATAAACTATCTTATAAGCTAAAATATAGAATTTCAGCTAACACATTAAACATGACCTTAGTAGAAAGCAAATTTGTTTTCTTATGAGATAAGATAATTCTTTTTGAGAGCATGCAAGTCATCCACATATTACAAGAATATGTCCAACGAACCAGCTAAAAAGATAATTGATAGCTGAAAAAACTAGCTACTAGTTGACAAATATAACGTTTGGTAAAACAAGCTAAAATATGTAAAATTATATAAAGATGGATATAAATAATTGAGTTTTTTTTTTTTTTTTTATAATCAACAAAAAAGTATATTTGATTGAATTTTCAAAAGTTCAATAAGTTTGATGAAAGTTAGTATAAGTAGATTTTTAAGCTAATTGTAAAAAACATAGCTTAAAACATTTTTTTGACATATCATATTTCCACTAATTTTATATTATAAAAACATATTTACATAAATCATTTCTAATCATTCATCATTTTCCAAAGTTTTTCTAAAATATCTAATTTATTTTTACTTTGTTATTCTATCAACTTCCTTAATTAATTTAAGACTTATAACGGTATGTCATTATAACTATGTCGGTCTTTTGTTTCAAAAATATAAAAAAATTATTTATTTAGTACGTATACAATTATAATAATAATAAAAAATAAAAATATTATGACCCTTACGAATATAATTATTTTAAAGCAAAAAAAACAAAAAAAAATTAATATATGCCCTAAAGACACATAAAAAAACATTAATTATAAAAAATATTACCATAATTAAATGTAAAACACATTAATTATAAAGAATATCATTTTTTTTAACGGCAAATATATTCTACTCCTATACTACTCCTAATTCTCCACCTATGTCCCTCACGGGACTTGAACCCTCGACCTCAAAGAGGAAGGACAACACCGGATACTGTTGGGCTAAAGAATATCATTTATAATTAATGTCTATAACATTTAGTTATAATAATATTCCTCATAATTAATACTTCAATTAATGTTTCATATATTAGAAAATCACAAACAGAAATAAATAAATTTAACATTTCCATGTAACATGCTATAGTACAAAAGAAAATATTTAAGACTGTTTTTGGTTTAGTAGCTGAAAAACTAATTTTTAGGTCAAAAACTAACTTTTACCAACTAAACTAGTTGGTAGCTATAAATTAGATAGAAAAATATAAAATGACTTTTAAATGTATAATTAAAAGCATTATTAAACAAATTATAATTGCAAAAAACAAAGGCAAATGGTGTAGTGACTCATGACTTGTAAGTGGTCTAATGCAAGCAGTCCAAGAAGGTGTATAACCCAAGAATCAGAAAGCTAAAATGTCAACTAACAAAATTGCCTTAAATAAAATAAAACAAAACATTATGAATCTCAGTAACAAAATACAACATTTTCATGAAATACAAAACCCCTAATATCAGGCTCAGGGTAGGTTGATTTATATATACACCAAAATTAAATTAAAATATAAATATAATATATTATTCTCATCAAACATTGTTGGAATCACGAAGAATTTGAACTCGCCAAACAAAGTAGCGAATATACAAAGCATTCAGAGTCATCGCTACTCCAAACCCCAAAATCCCTGACAACATTACCGCATAGATTGCCTTCAACTCAAGCTGCAACAAACAATACAATACAATTCAATTGACCAAAACACCCTTCTAAAATCAAAATAATCACATCACTCACTCACCCATGAATAAAACAAGTGCAGAATCATAGCTACAAGTGCAAATTCAAGAGCTGCATAAGTCCAAATATACTCCCTGATTGCTGTAAAATTGGAACAACATTAGAATAAAGGAAAATCATGTTGCAACATTTTATAAAAACTTAAAAAGATAAATTATACCAAGAATAACCGAAAATGTAGATGACAGAATGCCAAATGTAAATGAGAATGGCGCAGCAATCACAATAGCTTGAGTTTTCAGGTCACGAATCTGCCAAAAAAAAAACAAATATTTAAAACTGGACATGAATACATGATTTATTTAAAGGTGTCATTAATGGCTTACAAGAAGCTGCTCCAGGAAGAAGAAGTAGCATATTGTACTTATCAAAACTAGCACCACAAAATCCTGCCATGCACTGAATACACAAACATGTAACCATTAAAATTTGAAAAGCTAATGAAGCTTATATAGGTTAAAATTAGGGTTAAGTTACCTTATTGTTCCTGAATTCAGATGCTGTTGATGTTGTGGATTCATATTCATGGTTTGTCTTTGAACATAACTTGGCATACGAAGCAAAGTTACTGGTAAATTTGAGACTTCACGTCCACAAACATCACAGTTTTTGTTCCCTTTAACACTGAACCATTTAACTGCACATTCTTCATGAACAAGTCTAAGCGCACCTTTGCAACTGCATTCCATCTTCAGTTGATTACCTTCATCACATGAATCAAAGCAGATTCTGCAAATCGCTTCTTCCTCATCAATCTCTTCATCGTTCTCCACTTCCACAGAACAGATTTGATCTTCATTTCAAACCGAATCGTTTCAACAAAATTGGAATATGAAAATCAAATCGCAAGTGTATACGATCAAAAACGTACCATTAGCACTGTCGGCTTGATCATTATCCTTACGTGCTGCAAAAGAAATTGATCTTACGATAACAATGTTTCGCCCAGGTACAGAGAGCGACCTTGAAACCGTCGCTTGAATCGCCCCAATCTGCACACAATTTATCGATGTATGTAACTGTAAACCCTAAAGCCCAAAGTTATAAACTAGCCCAATAAACCTAAGGGGATTAATTTCAATTTTAAATCTATATTTTTCAGTAATATGATCGATCTTACCTGTGATTTCTGTTGTTCGCTGTATGTTCTTGCGGAAACGGGGGTGGTGGCTGAAGGGGAAGGGTTTGATGATGCGTGTTTGACTGGAAGAGATGTGCATCGTTTCCAGTGTAAATTGGAGTTGGTGTTGGAGACAAGAGGGCTTACAGGTGGTGGTGCGTTTGCGTCGGAAGGAAGAAGAGAGCTACTTTCACCATTATGAGGAACGTGATCCTTCTTTTTAAAGCTTAAACCTCGAAAAATCCCCCTTGAAGATGAAGATGAAGTGCCATTGGAGGAGATACCAGGAGACTGGAGTGAAGCTTTTTCACGCCGATTACTGCTAAAATGTGCGTGTCTTGGAGGTATGTTCAGGGACAAATCTGAAAAACGAGTGCTTTTTCCATAACTTTTTACTTCATTTGTGGAGGATTCCTTCTCATTGGTATCAACCTGTTGTGTTGTTATTGAAGCATTCATATTCATATTGGGGAAAGAGAAATGGCCATAACAACAACAACAATAACATAAAGAAATTGAAAAAGTATTTGACTTTTGATGAAAACCTAGAAGTAGTCAAAGACTTTACACCTGCATTATTATATTTGCAGAAATTATTCAACGTTTTTTTATGGGGTTTGCAATCTTGTGTAATGTAAACAACTATAAACTTGTATGTTGCAACAATCAAGAAGATGGCATGTACTCATCCAACAACGAGCTTGATTGGGGTTTTTAATTTTCAAAGAAGAAAAATCGCCTTTAAAAACCAAGATTTGGGAGCTAACGAGATTCATTACAATCCTGCTATTCTTTCTTCACAAACCCTAAAGAATCGATCCTAATTTCTCATCCTTTTGAGAAGAACATAGGTCAACAAGAGGTCAAACCGAACGAATAACAACTGAGCAAGGATTTAGAAATTTGAGCTAAATCTCAGTTGCCATGAACATAAAGAGCAGATTATACAAACTGGGTAAGCGATTTACGCATAAGGGTTACCCAGAAGCAAAAATCACAAAACAATCATAAAAGCCACAAGCAAGAAGATGACAAAAGAAGAACCTCTGAAGCATTCCTGTCGTCGTCATCGGCAACTGCGCTGCTAATTTCGTGCGATGTTTGCATCTGATCTTCAATAAGCGTAGAAGCTACTCAAACAAAGGGGGTTGGAGCACTGTGAATAATTTTGATTATCAGTCCACCACTCCAATTATTCAAATCGATTTTGGAATACCGTTTCTTTAATTTCAAATTTATTATGTTTTAATGTCTTTTAGAAATTATTTTTATCAAAAGCATCGAGTGGTGAATAGAATTGAAACAAGCAAATGGACAAAATGAATACGATGATGATGATGAATTATTTATGCTAGGAACGTGAAAAAACAGGTGAAAGGGATTTTGATTGATCCAATTTTTTTATTTATGTGAATTGGATATCAAAATTTTTATTTATTTTCCTGAATTTAACAGAAATCAATAATATTTTTTTTCTATCTTGATATAAATATAAATTTTAGTTTAGTAATCCCATTATTCAATAAAAATTAATTAATAAAACATTTGTAAACAAAATATGGTTGTTACTGAAATTATTATGACTAATACGTGTAAAACAAATAGATTACTCGCTCGCTCTTGTTGACTTTAAACTTTAAGGTTGGATTAGTTTTTGATGTGTTTTTGATGTGTCGATATTTGGGCATTTGGTAATTATGAATTGGGTCCTACTAATTAGATCCAGATTTTTTTATAGGACCCCTTATTAATGATTTTTTAGATATAAATTTCCGTGCATTTATAATATTAATATTTTTTATGATTATTAAAATTAATTCTTTTTGAAACTCATATTTATTATTTAATTTCTATAAACTTTTTATTTATTATATATTTTATTTTTTTATAATCAAATAATAATACAAACATATCAATGTTTTTTTTATATATTTTAATATTTTCTATATTTTAATATTTATATAAACCAAAAAATAAAAATAAAATGATATTAAATATTTAAATGAAAACTAAGTATTATTATTATATCGTATTTGAAGTCACTTATTATTATGCTTTCATATAAAAATGATTTTAATAAATTGCACTAAAAACCGAAAATAAATTAAATTTTTTTGTTTAGAATATTTTATTTTGTATATTTGAAAAAAAAATAAGCATATTTTTATTTTAATATTTATTTATAAAAATAATATCCTTTTCTATAAACAAATCTTTATATTAAGCCATTTTATTATGTAATGATTAGTTTTATTTAAAGTAAAATATAAAATAATTATGAGGGTCTAATATTATGTAATAATAATTAATAAAAAGATAATTATTTGATAATGATTAGCTTATTTAAAAAAAAGTTAAAGTAATTATTAAAGTAATTATTAAAGGGTCCTTTAACAAAATAAAAAGGATCCAAATAGCTGAACCCTTATGAATTTTAGTGTTAGAGGGTGTTTAACTTAGTTTTTTAGAAGCCAAAATTCTTTTAGGAAAAGATAAAAAGCAAAAGATGTTTGGCAAATGCATTTTAGAAGCTACTTTTGAATTTGGATACAAATAAAAATGAATTTTTTGGAAAAGTCAGGAAAACCTGATTTTTTGTGACTTTTCCAAAAAGAACTTTTGCTCCCTGAAAACCAAGCCAAACACCCCTTTAGTATTATTTTTATAAACTAATATATGTCCACTAATCATATTATATTGATTTTCACTTTTTTATTAGTGTTACTTTCTACCCTCATTTAGATTGACTTTTAGATTGTCCCCGCCTAAATGTTAAATCTCTCTTTTTTAGTATTTGGTATGAAATTATGGCATATATGCATAAATAATATAAAATCAACGTCATAAATGTAAAAAATCAAAGAAAACATTTCCAAAAAGGTCCCATTTGGACCACAAACCTAAAGAGAATAAGTTGTCAATAATCGATGTTATTACTTAATTGTTACGACATAAAAAGCATATGTGGAAAATTGAATTAATCGTTACAAAATTGTATGCAACAACCACATATCTTTTGAGCGGAAGCATCAGTTTTTTCAACTTTCAGATTATTATTTTTTTTCCGAATTGGTATCTAGCTTAAAATATTCGAACTTTACAAAAGGGTGATAATAATTTATATAAAAACAATGTGGAGTATGACTCTGTAAAACATGTATTAATAAATCTGTTAGGATTTTTTGAAAAATTATATGATCTCTTTCTGAATTTAAATTATTATGTTTTGTCAACCTGTTTTGAAATGACAAATAATTTTTACCATTCGATACATTAATCTTGTTAATGCACAAAAATCAAATAACTATAATAGATGTTTTTTTTTTGGAACGGTTGAATTTTTTATTAAAAAAAAAAACAAAAAATCCTAAGCAAGAAGCTAAAGACGAAACAAAACTATTACATCATAAAGTTCAAAATAAGGTTTTAAAGTCATAAGTTCCACGGAATAGAGAATTTATGCTTCTGATGGACCACCCAAGTAAGCGAAAAAACAAAAATATCTTCAAATAATCTATCTTGTCTTGGTATTGAATGATCAAACATTCAAAAAGTTCGTAGATAATAGCTTCCAATATATTCTTCTTATTCATACTTCAATGAATATCCTTCAAAAACAAAAACATTCCATCTACTGAAATTAACTTAAACACTTAGACAGGTCAATATCACACCACCGACCGAGCTATTTTGTTGGTAACAAACACAACACTGTCCATCAAATATCCATTAACTTGTTGATTACCAAACCGATAATGTTTTATGCCCTTTCTTTTTCTAACATTTTCCAACATAAACAAAAATAAATGAGACTAAGAAATGTTATCAGATACTTGTCACGAGGCATAATAATCTTCTTATTTTGAAACGGTTTATAAATACAAAAGTTTAAAGGAGGATAGGGTGTGAAATATCAAAACTAAGCTTATATGAGATCAAATGTCATGTCCCTTGAAGTGGAGAGAATCGTTTAGATTTCTTTTCTCAATTATATAAATGCCTTGAACTTATGAAATCTATCGGTTTTACATCAAAGAAATCTTTTTATGTTCCATTAAATTATTAAAATACCTCTAAACATTTAAATTCATTATTTTGGTTGTTAGTAAAACCATCTACATCAAACAGATAAATAAAACAATAACATCAATTTTTCATTATGTCACGTTACCAATAAAATCATTCACATCTCTTAAACCGATGCTACTATATTTACCCTCTATTTTTTGTTATATTTGATTAATCTAAGATAAAATTGCAAAAATGGTCTCTATAGTTGGAAAAGTATTTTATTTTGGTCCAAAAACGTTTGGTGGTAACTTTTGGATATTTTTAGTGATTTTTGTTCCTATACATTTTAACTGGCTATAATGCCTTTATAATTTAATTGTTCTATTTTATAATTGTTCTAATAATTAAATTGTTTAACATCAATGTATATACAGAGTAACCAACGGAAAGAAAAGCCACCCACATTGTCCTCTCTCTCTCACACACACACACATCGTCTAACCGAAAACCACCTATAACGTCGAAAACCACCACCACAATCGTCATTCTCTCTAAAAAAAAATCACCGCCCTTTCCTGCCAGAGATGAGTTTTTCAAAATCCCCTCAATCTTTGTTGTCATCTTAAGCATCTTCCTTTTCGTTGCCGAATCTAAAAACCATCGGAAGCCTCTCCATCTTCATCACCAGATTTAAAGTCTCTCTCTCTCTCTCTCTCTCTCTCTCTCTCACACACACACACACACACACATTGTCTAACCGAAAACCACCTATAACGTCGAAAACCACCGCCACAATCGTCATTCTCACTAAAAAATCACCGCACCTTTCTTGCCAGAGATGAGTATTTCAAAAGCCCCTCAATCTTTGTTGTCATCTTAAGCATCTTCCTCTTCGTTGCCGAATCTAAAAACCATCGGAAGCCTCTCCATCTTCATCACCAAATTTAGAGTCTCTCTCTCTCTCTCTCTGAAACGCCAACATTAGGGTTTATAGGTGTGCAATGTAAATGAACATATCCCATAAGGGTGAGAGTGAGAGAGAGAGAGAGAGAGGGAGAGAGAGAGAGATTTTTGGGATGATTCTGGACCAAAAACACAAATAATAATAATAATAATAATAATAATAATAATATGGACCAAAACCATATTTTTCACAACTACATGGACCATTTTTGCAATTTTATCTATAATGACATCATTTTTTTAATATTCTTTTTACAAAATACAACATTCTTATCGATCACCCAAACACCCTGTTATATTATGAGAAATTAAACACCCTATTATTATTATTATTATTATTGTTATTATTATTATTTAACAAATTCATGTTTCTTCCCATTTCATCCTTTCGATTTGTGTGTATCAACTCTTTAAAAAAAAAAAAAAAAAAAAGTTTCACCCTTTTGATTTGTGTGTATAAATTTGATCAAATTTCTTGAAATCCTATTTCACCCTTCTGATTTATGCGTTTGTGTGCATAAATTTTCTAAACAAAAATTGATGATTATTATTTACTTTCTGATTTTTATTTTGTGTGCATCAATTACGGTTTGGATGAAGTAAATAAGATTGTCAGGCCGGACTAGTGTCCGGCCCAATAAAGATGGGCTTATTATGACCAAATACGATGTTCTATTTCTAACTTCAGTTCTAAACATGAGGTACAACATTCTAATGCAAAAAAGAAACAAGTAGTAAAGTTACTCATATACCCTTACCATCTGGATGTTACAAATTAAAAATTTTACTCTTATTATCTCAGTAACTGTTTTTAAACATAAGATCGTTTCTGAAGTTGATTTACATAATAAAGAGAAAAAGACTAAATTGCCCTTGGCATATCTATAAAGATTCTATCACCTTCTATTCTTGCTCATCCTGACCAAGAGTTACAAGCATGTAAAGCCATATAAATTAATCATCATATACTTACCAAGTGAAAAACAACAAAACAAAGGTCAGTTCCTATAGGATGATGTACAACCTCTTAATGCATGGTATCAAAGGAAAGGGCAAAATCACCAAATTACCCTTGATTACAATTTGTGGAGAAATCTCGATGCACAAATCCACAATGTGACTGGAATCCTACGCTTTGAACGCAAAAACAAAGCTGAAATAATGTCAAAAGAAAATCTATGAACCTCAGGATTCAACGCCATGCGTATCAGCATAGCTGTCCATACATCCGGTGCCATTTTCACAGCTTGCCAAAAATAACAAATTCCACTAACTACCCTTTCGATAGTTGCATGCCCCTGTAAACAAAATACAAATAAACAACAATAAAATAAAATACTTTGATAAACCCAAAACCAACCTCTGATTCGGTCGTATGTCCTGTATCACAATTCTCATCAAACATACAAGAAGCAACTTCATCTTCAAGAAAAATATCCGCAACTTTTAGTATATCACGAACGATAAAAAGTCGCACTCTGAAACCCTTTTCGGATAAAATAAACTTAAAAAGATCTTCTGTAGCAGAAACAACAGCATTCATGTCAAAAGACTTCCACTCAAGTGGACTTGAGGATTTATTAGCATCCTTATCTTCTCCATCTGTCTTTTCAGATATAGATATCGCCGCCACCTGTATATACCCCACCACACAAAAACATCTGTCAGAACAACAACAGGAAAATACAGAACAGAACAGATTGTACTGTGTTTACCATACCAGGCGTTCTAGGCGATTCCATCGTATGGAACCATCATTACAGATAAGGAGTTCTCTTAAGATTTTTCTCATGTCGGGACTGGGGTCCGCAAGAAGCCGTCCAATCACAAAAGGGTATGCGCTTTCAACAACTTTAAATTCCGGGTCTAATGTTTTTGCTGTCCCTTCGAGTGATCCCAATGCTCTTATCACCAATGCATAGTCAGGAGGAAGAGAGAAGTTGAATTCATACATAACATCATAAAGTTGGTTCATAATCGCCTGGCATTTTTTTCAAAACCAAAAAAAAAAAAACTCAAATCTCCACTCAACCAACTTATACACCAAAACCCTAAAACCCTAAAAAGGAAACCTGGAAATCTTGGGATTGTCGGGTGCCATCACCAAAAGATAATTTAAGTGCATCTGCAACCAAAAGCATATCGGTTCCTTCTGGAATGAATCCAAGTGAGAGAAAATCATTGGCTAAACCCAAAGAGTCACGGTTGACAAAGTGTACAAGCTGGTCAACATAATCACAAGACAAAAAAAGTTGATTAAAAAGTCTGAGACATAATCACATGCTTGGTTCTTTAAGGTATGAGATTTTGAAAAAAAAAAAAAAAAAAAGGAATTCAGAGATATTTTATATTTAATATTTACCACTTGGATAAGTCCAACACGATAGTGACGTGGAATGTCTCCCATCATCCCAAAGTCAAAGTAAGCAAGAGCACCATCTTTAGTAGCAACAAGATTACCCGGATGAGGATCCGCATGAAAAAAACCCACTTCAAGTAATTGCATCAACGAACAATACAATCCCTAAAACCCAAACCCAAACCCAAACTCAACTTATTATTTAAAACTTTAATTCAAGAAAAACAATAACTATCAATCTGTGTCGTACCTTATCTATCAGTTCTTTTCGGTTTAAATCAAATGTCTTTAATGCAGCTTCATTATTAAGCTTAATACCATCAATCCATTCCATTGTAAGCACAGCTTTTCGCGTAAAGTTCCAGTATATTTTTGGAACTTTAACCCATCTTTCTTCCTTCAGAGAAGTCTCCACCTCTTTGGCTGCAATAATCATATAAAATATATAAATTCTTTTCCAGTTTGGTTTACAGGTTTTTAACTATGAAGATCAGTAAATAACTTACTGGAGCGAAAACCATAAAGAGAATCGAATCTTTCAGCATTTTGTCCTTCAAGTATGTAATCAATCTCTTCAAACATGTGCCTCACCTATTCAATCAGAATCTTGGGTAATTCATTTTGGAAAACTCCTGTTGTTTTTAATTAATTTTTTTTAAAAGACTCACTGTTTCATTAACTGCTACTATTATATCCTTCCTTGCTTTGGCAAATCGCTTTAATTGGCCCCCAATCATGTTAAATAACAAGGCATCAAGGGTCAAAGAAAGTGACATACCAGGTCTTTGTACCTTTACAGCTACTAGCTCCCCTGTATGCAAATGAGCTGCAAAACTTGAAGTAAACATCAAAGCCTATTACATTTTTCACATACTGAATGTTAAAAGAATTGAAAAGAATTTTAATATCTAATAACCTTTATACACTTGGCCTAAAGATGCTGCAGCCATAGGTTCTGGGCTGATGTCTGAAAAGATTTCTGAAATAGGAACACCCAACTGGGATTCAATAGAACGAATCGCAACCTTGGTTGAAAATGGAGGTATTTGATCCTGATTCACAATGTAAGTTATAACGAATGTTAATCATAAGTTGTAAAGAATCAAACTTTAAAATTCCTACAACTTCTATCTATAGTTGTAAAATGGGTACCTGTAGTTTAGCAAGTTCATTACAATATACAGAAGGCAGAATATCTGGTCTTGTGCTTAGAGCTTGTCCTAACTGTTGGTCAAAAAGTCAATGAGACTTTATTCTATACAAATTGTGGAGATGATTAATAAATAATACGAAAGAGGACTTGCCTTGATATAAAAAGGACCTAAGCGGATGAGGGTATCACAAAACTGCATCAATTAGAATAAAGTCATTGTTGTTTTAACTTTGAAGCCACTAAATTTCTTTGTTACAATTAACAAATCATGCAGAAATGAATTAAGGAAAGAAAAAGGATATGTTGAATGTTGATGTACCTTTGCTGACCGTTTTTTAATGTCATGAACAAAAAAATGAGCCAAAGTAAGCTTGAAGACCTCGTATGAAATATATGCTGCTCTATACAATGCTAAAAAAGGGCCAAAACTGTAGTACATGGAGAGACGTTTGGATCTAGAAGTAAGTGCATTTCCAAATTCACTTTCCAGTGATTCTTTCCTCAATTTGGCATACTCTGCTGATGGTTTCTCGCCATGAACACTAGAGAATCTTGTGGAAAAACTGCATGAAACTAATTATAAATCAACATCAACTTAATACACTCCATACACTCTTTAACTCTAAAAGCAAAAACACTCGTATAAGCAACAAGGAGATAGCTTGCCTTCTGCAGGGAACACCCCCAAATGAACGACCATTGTGGAAAGCTGTAAAGGGGGAAAAGAGAATCAATACGGTTTATCCAGCAGTTTGATATGTTTATCGATTTTGGTAGGAAACAAAACCATTTATCCATAATCAGACTAGACGGCATGAGATTGGATCGAATCTAATACAAAACAGATGGCCAAAATATAGATAAAATGTACTTCGATGGATGTGAAGAAGAATTCTGCAAAATTGCTCTTCATACAAGAATATATTGCCAATGTTAACGTTATAAGGCCTAAGTTATGAGCCTTTTTTGTAAGCTGATACCATAAGCATAGCCAAAAAGAGAGGTAAAATACACTTCATTAGATATATGGCAAATTCAACAAACCGTTCCTCATGACATGAATATAACAACGGTTCTCACAGATCAAGTATTTGAAAAATGCGAATAATGAGTTGAATTAGACCTGTGCATTGACCTTTTTTGAAACTAGAAAAGTTTTCGTAATTTTCGTTTTTTTAGAAGAAGCAGTGAATGAAATTTGATGAAATTAAAGGGGAAAAGGAAACCTACGCATACCTCTTCGTTTAATTACTGCAAAAACTTGCCGGTTCAAAGATGCAACCGCATTATCCCTCATCGGTGGAAGATGATTGGGTTAAAGGGGCTAATACTAACGACGGTGAATAGAAAAGTGGGAAGAGAATGTGAGGATAATGATCGAAGGGAAAGAGCTGAAGCAAGTTTGGAGAAACGGTGGTCGGAGGCGGTTGGGTTGAGGCTAGAGGTAGTGACACGTTAGGAACCAGGTGGCCTCCTGTGAGCAGTGGGGAGGAGACATGGAGTATTCTTGCCCATTCTTACCCCGGAACCCACTTCTAAGAAGCCGGATAAGGGGTGTTTTGATTCGGGTCAAGGCGATGGCAAAATGATAGGAGATGAATCAATTTTTATTTATTTATAAATGTTTTATTTTTAGTGTAAATTTTTTTTTTTTGGATAAAAATTCAATATATATTGATGAAAGGCAAGCGGATAATAAGTTGTGTCGTTAGTTCTTTCTGGATAGCAAAACTAATTTTTTAAAAAACAATATATATATGGATCTATGAGATATAACATTAGTATGCATGACATGTTGGATTCTGTTGAGGAGCTTCACCGCATTTGGTGCGAGAAAATCAAATGTATCAAAATGTAAAAAAGTATAAACACATGTTTATTTTCAATGCATGCATTCTCATGCTTTGCCACTTTGTACGCGGCGACTTTCAAAGCAATATGTCTTGTTGTGAAATCGTCGCTCCTCAAACCAACGAGAGGGGAGAACCCAGTAAGATCCACACAAACGTACTTCCCTCCTATCCATCCAAAGACCAATGAACCGCATCATGTCGGTATTTAAATCCATGAGCTCTCTACAATGAACCGCATGTGTAACAACGTAAATTTCAAAACAAATTTTCATTTAAAATAATCGTTTAATTCTTAAAACACTTTTCGTAGAAATCTCATTTCTGTTTAATTTACAAAACATAACTCCATATTCAATTGCATAATAAACCAGGATCCTCAAAACATAACTCTTCCTCTGGTGTGTACAATCGAGCTGGTGTCGTCCCGTGATCCTGAGAAAACCTGAAACACATAACACGTAACACAGTAAGCACGAAGCTTAGTGAGTTCCCAAAAATACCACACATAGCACATACTAGCCACTTGAGGCTATAACTCTGTGGGCCCTTGGGCCCTAACTATGTAGACCTTCTGGTCCTAACTCTGCGAACCTTTCGGTTCTAACTCTGATATACTCTGATATACACATGACATAAATCACATAGAAATAATGCAGTGCAACACATCACATAAATAGCATACAAGCTACTCTATTACATAACTCTGGTTACCTACTTAAGGTAAAGTATAGTGAGAAGACTCACCTCGGATACTCGGTAAACCTCGTACTCTGAAATACTGCGCTAGCCTCCGCCTATTCACATAAATAATTTCTCTAATAAATACAACTTCTAAAGGCTAGGCTAATCCTCCTCTATAAGTCCTCTAAGAAGGGTAAAAGATCATTTTACCCCTTTAATGGCTCATAAGACCAAATCATTGACCGAACCCTAAAACTCAACGAAGTCAACTCTAGTCAACGGTCAAACTTTGACCAAACTCGTCGAGTGCACACGAGTGACTCGGCGAGTCCATGTTGGTTCTCTGAATCCCTTTTGAACCTCTCAGGCACGACGAGTTCCTTATCTACTCGTCGAGTTACTCAGCAACGAATCGTGGAGCAACCCGACTTGACTCATCGAGTCTGCCTATGGACTCGGCGAGTTGCTCCCATGACAACACTCATCTGACCTTCTGAGGTCAGATCCGTTCCTCTAATCCATAGATCTGACTTCCCTATGAACAATAACCACGTAAAGGTCGAATCTTGGTACACATGCAAGGCTCTCTATGCTTATTTTGGTGAAATCCTTCATATCATGACAAACCTAGCTCATAACTCCAAGGAAAAGGTATAAAGCAGAATGGAAGGGACTTTCTGGACCTCTTAAGGTCTAGATCTAGGAATCATTTCACCATGGGACCTTTCATACTCTAGATTCAAGCTAAATAAAGCATGCAGAAATCCTAGATCATGAAATCTACTAAACAAACGAAGGTGGACATGAATCCTTACCTTTTACAGCAGCTCTGAACGAAATGATGGAAGATTTAAGTCCCACAAGATAGCCTAACTCGAAATCCATCATTCCCTTTGCTAAAGCACACCAAGAGATGATGAATTAGCCTTCCTCTTGTACCACAAGCTTCCTCTCTGCTCTCTAGAGTTTCTCAGGGTGTAATGGCCGCAAATGAAGGCCATAAGGACCTTTAAATAGGTCCCAAACCCGGACTACTAGGGTTTTTCTTAACAAAGCTGACTCGGCGAGTCCAGATACCTGACTCGTCGATTCTCTTCATTAAAAAAGTCACCAAATCACGATCCTACTCGACGAGTTGGGGCGTCAACTTGCCGAGTCTCTTCACACCCCAAAAATAAAATACTCAAATTCCATAACTAGATATCAGGATGGTACAACATGTTCCTAAAAAGTGTCTAAACATGCCTTACGACAAACAGGGCATATCTCGTCAATTGAGAATAGAGGGATCATGAGGCAATATCGAAGGATAGTACGGTATTCCACATGAGATATATGTCGGTTGAGGCCATCAATATGAATAGTTAGTAGAAAATCTTGAGCATGAGGTGCTCGGAGACACTCAAAAACTGTTTTATGTCTAATAGTTATGTCCAAGTCGACTTCCATATATTTGATGATTTGCTAAAAGGGCACAAACCAATGTTTTTTGGGATCTAGTGGGCGATGTCCTTATTAGTGAAACCGCTACAGTCTAATCATAGAATCATATCGTAAAGACGAGTCAAAGAACAAAGGTAATCAGAGTTCATACCATATATGTCACTGTCACATAAGATGTGGTCTTTTAAAGTCCAATATTAGGCCATTGAGGCTAAAAAATGTGTAGGAGGAAACCTCATATGTTGAGTATAAACCCAAACCACCTAAACGAATAGCTAAAGAAGCCATGTGTTACTAGATGTCTCCAAAGAAAGGGCTTCCACAAACCATTATATCCTCGATAGATCTGTGCAATCCTTTGTCAAATAAGAAAGTTGCCTCCTCTATGTACACAGGTTGGCATGTCCTTAAACCAAAGAAAAGTTTTGCAACGCCCATACATGATCGATGCAAAAGCAGCTCACTTTGCGGGTCACATAGTTATGGAAAAAGACTCATCAAATCAACATCATTGACAACTCTCTTCATGGCCAACTCGCTAATAATCCTCGCATCTATCCTAACACCCCCCCTAAGGAGCTTCACCCCCAACGACGGTCTCCTTATATCTGTTGGGAATAAATCAGCACAAGTTGGAAACTTTATCCATTAAAACCTTAAGGATATTTAAATTTGAGCTTTGGAGCTGTTGGTGTAAAGGAATATGAGCTTAATCCATTAAGTTATTTATACCTGGTTACCATGACGTGGTGGTTGGCCTAGTCGCGATTGTTTTGTCGTAATGATATCACGATATAGCCAATGGGTGGTCACGACATGAGGATCGACTGGGGTAACTTTGACCGTTGACTTTTTGACATGGTTGACTTTTGGATAAATGGTTAATGTGGAAGGTAGACTAAGGACTAATCTTGAATATTTCGATTGGTGGGTTATAACACCGACTCCTTGATTAGTTCGAGCTGTAGTTGATCATATTCGAGTGTGAGGTGAGATTTCTCACTATACTATGTAGAGTGGTATATTATCTTTTTTTATTGTTGCATGTGTGTTGGATTGGGCCTGTTATGCTGGGTGGGGCCCGTTATGTGGGTGGGGTCCGATGTTATGTATGGTATGTGATATTTTCGGGAGCTCACTAAGTTTTGTGTTTATGATTTTGTGGTTTAAATGTTTTAGGTACTTTTGGTTCCAAAGGGAATGACCCGACATAATTGCACATCATCCCCTGGATTTTTATTTCGTATTGTTTATTTGATTTACTCTGATGTTGAGATTATTTATATTTTGTTTGGTTTTGAAACAAATGATTGTATCATTTTGGGTGTTTTGAAAATTAAATTTTACTAGTATTTTTTGGGTCGTTACATATTTTTTTACTCTAAATAAACCTTTAACATTTTTGTTTTTTCTCGAATAACCCCTTACATTTTATAAGTTTTTTTTTTTGGAAAAAAAAAAGAACTAAAAGGGTCGGATAAAAAAATACAACTTTTTAGACAAAAAACAAAGAAATGTTCGATAAAGTCTCAATATTTTTGATCAGTATACGGTTTAATTCCAACATTTATTTTTTGAAAAAAAAGCCCAATTATCTATTTTTATATGTTGTTTAGTTATTTTGTAATGAAAAAAAAAAAATAAAGTTTGTTTTATTAATTTGGGTACTGAGAGTTGTTTGTTGGGAAAATGTAACGCCCGGGTTTTCAGGGCTAAGCATTTTTGTCAATGTAATAGTCTATGTCAACTATTTTAATTCTTTTTGAAGTAATAAATATGAAATATTTGAGTATTATGTGAATTATGTGTGTTTATGTGTTTATTATTTAATTATAAATGTATAATTAATAAAGAATAAAAATGAGCGTCAAAAAATAAAGTGTGAGATAATCCCGATATCTCTACATAAAGTTGTAGAATATGTTTCAAGGTTTCCGTACATATAAAGAATGCCGAAATCCGAGCTATAACGAAGAAGTTATGGCCCGCCGAAGTTTTACGGCGAAACCGGCACGACACCGGGAGACGTAAATAGTGAATTTACAGTAGAAGACTTTTTAGCCTTAGCAATCTAAACAAAAGTCGTAGAATATGTTAAACTAAGAACATCGATAAAAAGAACGCCCAAATCTGACTTCGTATGAAGAAGTTATGATTTTTCTAAGATTCGGCTTAGCAGTGCACGGCCTGAAACTCGAATTTTAGTTCGAGCGGTTTTTGGCTTACGCAACGTAAATGAGAGTTGAATATCTCATTAATAGGAAATCAACGGTAAAAAGACAGACAAAAACAGAGTCCGTATGTAGAAGTTATTAATTTTACGCAGACGTTTAACAGTATAATCTCCTTGTACTGTTAAATTTAAGATCGGTCGAGAATTAGCTGACGGTGTCAAAATGAAAGTTGTAGATCTTATTATTACCTACGCGTGGATATAAAGAACGTCAAAAACGGAGGTCGTATGTGAAAGTTACGGATTTTAGAAGTCGGAAGTGTGCTGTGCGAAAATGGGTGATGTGGCACAATCTTGGCCATTGCTTTCTCCCCAAGGCTTGCCACCAGATGGTGACATGTGGCACCAAGTTCAGCCACATTTCA